CCCGTGGTCTTTCCTCTGTGTACATGCATCCCTGGCACATCTCTCTTTTCAGGAGGACACCAGTCATACTGAACTAGGACCCCACCTTATGGCCTCGTTTAGTCTTCATTACTTCTTAAAAGGCCCTGTCTCCAAACACAGTCACCTTGCCAGTTAGGGCTGCAACAGATAAACGTTGAAGGGACACAGTTTAGTCCATAACAGCAATTTACTTAAACTTAAGCCTTGGTTTTCTCATCTGTAAATGGAGAATAATATAAATATTTTAAATTACAATGTAAAAAAAAAAATTTACTAGGTTATTACAAAGCTTGAGACGATCCAGATAAAGTGCTAAGCATAATACCTAGTACTTAATAAATGTTAGCTGCTTATCAATAAGGGAAGGTCAAACCCTCGCATGATTTTATTAAGAGTATTAGAACCTAAGAAAAACTGAAACATATTTAGAGATTTTGAGACTAAAAGTTTGAGATAATCAAAGACTAGACCACCACCTGATTATAAAGTCACAGGCATGGCCATTTGTCCAGAACATTCAGACACATAATGTTCTACCTAAGGGGGAATTTCATTCAAATATTAACAAGTATGAAGTATTGGAAGGGAAATGAGAATGGCATAAAGAAAATAAGAAAGGAAACTACACATCAAAATCAGAAACAAAATCTTTGATCTTAACAGGTTTAAGTATATAAATATGGCAGTTAGTAGAAAGCTGTTATTATATGATAATATAGAAACTGATAAAATCACTTGGGAATCTGGATCCTAGTTATTTGAAGAATCAAATGAGAGAATGAAAAGCAAAGTCTTATTTAAGAGTTAATCATAAAATTACAGTAGATTCATTTCAATTTCCAAAACACTTTAAGCTGAAATTGGTAAAACTGGCAACCTTAATGGAAATTAATCATTCACTCTGAAGCACTCCTTGGAAGGAAAGTTATGACCAACATAGACAGCATATTAAAAAGCAGAGACATTACTTTGTCAACAAAGGTCCATCTAGTCAAGGCTATGGTTTTTCCAGTAGTCATGTATGGATGTGAGAGTTGGACTATAAAGAAAGCTGAGCACCAAAGAATTGATGCTTTTGAACTGTGGTGTTGGAGAAGACTCTTGAAAGTCCCTTGGACTGCAAGGAGATCCAACCAGTCCATCCTAAAGGAGATCAATCCTGGGTGTTCATTGCAAGGACTGATGTTGAAGCTGCAACTCCAGTACTTTGGCCACCTGATGCAAAGAGCTGACTCATTTGAAAAGACCCTGATGCTGGGAAAGATTGAGGGCAGGAGGAGAAGGGGACGACAGAGGATGAGATGGTTGGATGGCAACACTGACTCAATGCATATGAGCTTGGGTAAACTCAAGGAGTTGGTGATGGACAGGGAGGCCTGGCGTGCTGCGGTTCATAGGGTTGCAAAGAGTCAGACACGACTGAGCAACTGAACTGAACAAAACTGAACACACAACAAAAACAATAATGGTGTGAGTGTGTGTGTCTGTGTGTGGGAAACGATGAGTGCTTGAGAACACAAACCATACCTTAAATGTTTTTGAATCCTTAGCATCTAAAACAGGAAATTTGGACAATAAGACACTCAAAGGATTGTTGAATGAATAAATCAATAAATGTATTAACATAAAATCAAATATAACTATTTACATCTGTGTTTTTGTAACCTAAAAAATGATAGAAACATAACAAATAAGGAGGAAGAAGCATTTTTTTCCTTTAGACACATAGTCTGGTATCAATGAACTATATTCACAAAGAAACTAAAATACCAAAGATTGAAAGTCAACCTCTTCTCTTTATCCATAATAATGTCAAAAATATAATAATGTCTTCACTGATAAACAAACTCAAAATCTGCATGCTAATTTTCCAATACAAATCTTAAACTCGGTCTTAACTTTCTTGAGCTGAAGAATTCAATTATAAATGTCTGCTTAAAATTAATAAGCAACATGTCTCTTTAAACATTTTGGTAAAACACAGGATTTATCACCAAATATGCACCATGATTATAAAAACCAGAGCTGCTTTAAAAAAAAAAAATGCAAAACATAGTCAACATAAATGTACCGGAGTGAGAATTATGCTCCAATATTAACAGTTTCCAACTGTTTTCCAAGCACCTGAAGCAGTAATGTGAATTTCTTCAAAAAGGCTCTAGTTTAATTTTTTCCAGGGAAATATTTTTAATAGGATTACTGACCCTTTTGACACTCTTGGAAAGAAAATGAATCTCATAAGCATTCTGGCATATAACTATTATAAAAATAAATAGAAGAGTCAATCAGTGAAAGCATACTTGAGAAACTAACTAAAGAAATGTACTTAACTATACATGGTGAGGGCTTCCCTGGTGGCTCAGAAGGTAAAGCGTCTGCCTACAATGCAGGAGACCTGGGTTCGACCCCTGGGTCAGGAAGATCCCCTGGAGAAGAAAATGGCAACCCATTCTAGTATCCTTGCCTGGAAAATCCCATGGACTGAGGAGCCGGGTAGGCTATAGTCCATGGGGTTGCAAAGAGTCGGACACGACTGGGTGACTTCACTTCACTTTATACATAGTGATAACTAACACAGACAAGATTCCACTTCATATTAGCAAGACAACCAAATACACTAAGACAAATGAAGGGCTGGAAAGGAGGAGAAAACTCTGAAGAAAAAGCTTTCATCTCTTCCTTCAAACAGAACTAACTACATTGACTGTGGTCAATTCTGTTGGCTATCATTCAACTCTTAGGCCTGACCCTAAGTCCGATGTGGTTTTTCAGAGGTATTTTAATGTTTCAGGGGAAGAAAGGACACTTAGTGATTTGAGACATATTTTTGCACTCACAACTCTTGTGCTGTAGGAGGAATTTTTTCAGGTCATTAGTTTATAATGTGAACTGGCGCCTAAGGATATTTTGAAAGGGAAAAAACTAGTATGCCTGGAGATGCAGTTTATGTAACTTGCGTCATCATTTATTTCAGCTCAATTTGGGGCCTAAACTGAACTCAAAATGAAGTCACCACATCTGCAACAGATTCTCTGGGCATGGAATGAGCACACAGAAATCTGCAAACAGAACTGACTCCTTACCCAGAAAAACAAAAACAGTGTAACCTCCTTAAAATATCCAAGTCCTTGCAAGAAGTTCTTACACTTTCAGAGTACAAAAATAAAGTCAGCCTCACAAGTAAGTTCCAAAATAATCTGGGTTATCAAAATGCCACTGGCATACCAAAATGCATGAATTCTGCCAGTTTTACCCTTGTTTCCACAGCCTACCCCAACCATTCACACTACCATGCATGTTTGGGTCTGGAAAACATGGAATTAAATCATTAGGCTCAGAGAAAGCAAGCATCTTCCTAAATCCATGTGCATAAGACAAATGGTGATTTGGCCATTATCAAGATTAATTTGATCTACATATGATACCAAAATAGATCATTCTCAGACCCAACTTAACAACGTATTTCTTAAATTCTCTATTTCCCTTAAGAGTAAACAAAATTGATAGATATTCCCACTACCTTGTACAATAAAAGAAACAGGTTAGAATCTCTTTTCCTTTTCTTCATTATAATTTCACTTCTTTTACATTTGTTAAGGACACATGAATTATGGCTTCAAATCATGGAGCTGAGGATCCTGAGATTATCATAACCTAAGAGATTATGGAACTCCCTATTTTCAATCTTGGGTACACATTAGAATCACCACAGAAACTTTTAAAAAGTCTATATTCCCAGGCCCCATTAGGGCCCTGGAGTTGAGTCCATCATGCATCTAAGTCGACAGTCTCCCAAATGTGGGTTCATGGCCCAAAAGGGACCAAGGCTGAGAGCAAGCCAATGGCAGTCAAAACAGAACTCAATGCCTACAGGAGACAGGGACGTGAAGGAAGCAGGCAGGATATGCACATAGTTTTAGGGTGTGTGAGAGCCAGAGAGTGTATCACACTAGTGAGGTCACAGGGACTGGGCTCCGGAACTCAAGCTGACACTGCCATCAGGGAAATAAGAGGTAACCCATCTTCTCACTTAATCAGAAAAAAGAAAAAATAGAAAATCAAGATTTTTATGTAAAATTTCCAACTTTTAAATGTTGGCTCAACAAAACGACAACAATACTGCATGAGGTAATCAAACACATTTCAAAACACAGCACAGGTTTGGCCTTTAGGGCTTCGGTTATCACTTCTGGTCTAAAGGGTGGTTTCCATTCTACAGAAACCATAGCATCATTATCACCACAATAACAATACTTAGCCTTCATTAAGCATTTAAAGCTAGCCACTATGCTAAGAGGTTTACATGGATTATCTCCATTAGCCTTCATGAACCTTTATGGTACTATGAATATCCCCCCTTTACTCAAGTGACTTCCCCTCAAGCCAGAAAGTGGCGATGCCAAAATCCAAATGTGTGCAGTGTGACTCCATATCCTACACGGTGCTAGATTTCTTCAACGTTTTCAGTACGCTCTTAAAAGCCTGGACTCTTTGCACTTGTACTTTTTCAAAACTAAAACAAAGGGATTATACTAAACGATTTCTCAGGTCCTTTTTAGTTCTCAAATTCAACGGCTCAGACTCCATAATACAACTCTTGGCTGGATAAAAAAGTTAGCATTTATATGCATCAGTTCCAAATGCCTTAATGAGAATAATCTGATCAAAACAATGGAATGAATGAATGCTCATTCAATAGTCTTTCTGAAAAGACAGCAAAGACATAAAATCATAATAAAATTCGTTATCTCTACTGGCTTCCCTGGTGGTTCAGTTGGTAAAGAATCCACCTGGTTCGATCCCTGGGTTAGGAAGATACCCTGGAGGGCATGGAGAGGATACACTCTTCCTTGCCTGGAGAATCCCCAGGGACAAAGGAGCCTGGCGGGGGCTACAGTCCACAGGGTTGCAAAGAATCGGACACAAATGAGCAAATTTTACTTCACTACTATTACAGAAAGTTTACTTTTCCATCTTACCTTTTGAAAGATGAGTGAACGTTCTCAGAAATTCTTCATATGTTTGCTCATGACAATTAACAAATTTATCCAAGACTTCTTCAATTAGCCGATCTTCATCCATCATCTCCAATTCTGGTGTCTGGGCAGGCATTCCTATTCATGAGGCCACTTTATCTATAAGACCAAGAAAAACATGAGCTACAGGGGTTTGTGCAGTACCAGCCTCTCTTGAAAATACTTTAGAAGGGTAGTGGAAGAATTCCAAGTCCCCAAAAAGACAAATCAAGATAGCTATTAGAATGATATACCCTAGTTTAAGAGACCAGAGTTTTATTCATATCAACTGCAGAATTGTTAACTATCCCAATTTTATTTTTGCTTCAGTTTCCTGGTTACCATCTTCTTACCTCACAGGACTATCACACAGTTACACAACTAGAAACTCAAAATCTTTCAAGGTGAGATGAACCAACCACCCATTCAAAGACAACAGCAACAGTTGCTAATATTTGTTACTTATTGAGCACCTATTTAACTTATATGCAGAGTACATCATGAGAAACGCTGAGATGGAAGAAGCACAAGCTGGAATCAAGATTGCCGGTAGAAATATCAATAACCTCAGATATGCAGATGACACCACCCTTATGGCAGAAAGTGAAGAGGAACTAAAAAGTCTCTTGATGAAAGTGAAAGAGGAGAGTGAAAAAGTTGGCTTAAAGCTCAACATTCAGAAAACTAAGATCATGGCATCTGGTCCCATCACCTCATGGGAAATAGATGGGGAGACAGTGGAAACAGTGTCAGACTTTATTTTGGGGGGCTCCAAAATCACTGCAGATGGTGACTGCAGCCATGAAATTAAAAGACACTCACTCCTTGGAAGGAAAGTTATGACCAACCTAAATAGCATATTAAAAAGCAGAGACATTACTTTGCCAACAAAGGTCCATCTAGTCAAAGGCTATGGTTTTCTCCAGTGGTCATGTATGGATGTGAGAGTTGGACTGTGAAGAAAGCTGAGCGCCAAAGAACTGATGCTTTTGAACTGTGGTGTTGGAAAAGACTCTTGAAAGTCCCTTGGACTGCAAGGAGATCCAACCAGTCCATCCTGAAGGAGATCAGTCCTGGGTGTTCATTGGAAGGACTGATGCTGAAGCTGAAACTCCAGTACTTTGGCCACCTAATGCAAAGAGTTGACTCACTGGAAAAGACCCTGATGCCAGGATGGACTGGGGGCAGGAGGAGAAGGGGACGACAGAGGATGAGATGGCTGGATGACATCACCAACTTGATGGGCATGGGTTTGGGGAGACTCCAGGAGTTGGTGATGGACAGGGAGGCCTTGCGTGCTGCAATTCATGGGGTCGCAAAGAGTTAGACATGACTGAGCGACTGAACTGAACTCAACACCTATTACGTACCAGTTCTTTAACTTCATAACAATTCTAGCTCAGATTAGAGCCAGTAAGCAGAAATGTCAGTTCTAGAAGTGTGACCCTAGAACCCCTGCCCCTAAGTACTTCACTATGTTTCTCTATCCCCTGCATGACACACACACACCCCCTCCATACTCTGATACTATCGCTGCCAAACAATTGACTTGTCTGTGCTTTAACACATCCAGATATTGGAAACCCTTTCTGTTCCAAAGAACCCTATGGACAGCTCTATTAGAGCCTCCTTCTAAAACAGCCAAAATCTGTCTCCGTGTTTCCTACCCCAAACTGGTCCCAGGCCCCTGGATGAGACTGAATCATTTCAATTCTTTTTATACATGATATCCTTTGAAATATTTGAGCAAGCCTATCCTGTCCTTTCTCAATCTTCTTATTTCATCCACTTACACAAATTTCTTTTTCAAAACTCAGCTCAGAATTCAGTTTGTCTCTGAAGGCTTTAGCTTTCCGTCTCCAATCACAAGAGCACATCATAATTTCTGTGCTGCTTCTCCATGCTGTGTTCCATTTATCCCATTATATTATAAACAGTTGTATACATTTCTGTGTCTTTTATGAGACCCGGAGCCTATGAGAGAAAGGGTCCATATCTCTTCATAGCTCAGGACATGGCACAGAGTTGGCGGTCCACGGGTCTCAAGCTAAAATTACTCATTTGAGCAGGTACTACAGTCAAATATTGTTAGAAGCTGGCCAGAAACTCTACAAAACCTACCCAGTCATTCTATCTGTACCTTATGTGACATGGCCTTTCACCCTTCTGATCAATCTACCTGGAAAAGATCTCATACTGTCTGCATCCCTTTAAAATAAGTCATCCAGAAATGAAGACAAGACTCCGGGTACAGTCTGGAGACAGTGAGATTTGACTAACTCTCATATTCTAAATATCTCACTCCTACTTCATGCAAAGATCACGTTCGCATGCTAGTGGCCCCTTCAAGTTGTCAGATCATTAACTACTTCGTTAACTAAATGCTTGTCAGCTGAGACAATACCTCAATCCTTGCAGAGTTTGAACTTTGTTTTTAGTTGCGATATTTCACCTTGTTAAATTCTGTTTATTCTGTGTGAAATATGATTCTTACACAGCTTTGAGAAAAATGACTATCTACAGAAAGCAGAAGAATAATGACAGCCTAAAGAGCGAATGTGACTCATGCGGGGGCGGGGGGGGGTTCTCTGATAAAATATAAATTCCGTGGTTCTTCTATTTTTCCTGAATAAAAGTGAACATCTGGTGTCTGTTATTAACTTTATTATTTGATATTTACCAAAAAGCTCAGGAAAAACAAACCAAAAATATATTCACAAGATGACAGCCAAACTCACTTAGTGGTAAGACCCAACCTGAATTAACATGAAAGTGTTTGTGGCTTTCATTTATTCTGTATAAATAGTACAACTATTTATGTTTCCCTGAAAAAATACTAATGGGCTTGCTTTTGAGATGCTTTTCCAGACCCCACTGGAGATTTTATGTATTAATAATATGTGGCATTTGCCCTGATTACCTTTCTAAACTCCAAAAAACTTTTGAATTCTGAAAGACAACTGACCTCAAGAGTTTTAAATAGGAAGTATAAGTACATCATGAGAAACACTGGGCTGGAAGAAGCACAAGCTGGAATCAAGATTGCCAAGAGAAATGTCAATAACCTCAGATATGCAGATGACACCCCTCTTATGGCAGAAAGTGAAGAGGAACTAAAAAGCCTCTTGAAAATGAAAGAGGAGAGTGAAAAATTTGACTTAAAGCTCAACATTCAGAAAACTAAGATCATGGCATCTGGACTCATCACTTCATGGGAAATAGATGGGGAAACACTGGAAACAGTGGCTGACTTTATTTTTTGGGGCTCCAAAATCACTGCAGATGGTGATTGCAGCCATGAAATTAAAAGACGGGAAGGAAAGTTACAACCAATCTAGATAGCATGTTAAAAAGCAGAGACATTACTTTGCCAACAAAGGTCTGTCTAGTCAAGGCTATGGTTTTTCCAGTGGTCATGTATGGATATGAGAGTTGGACTGTGAAGAAAGCTGAGCGCCGAAGAACTGATGCTTTTGAACTGTGGTGCTGGAGAAGACTCTTGAGAGTCCCTTGGACTGCAAGGAGATCCAACCAGTCCATCCTAAAGGAGATCAGTCCTGGGTGTTCATTGGAAGGACTGATGCTGAAGCTGAAACTCCAGTACTTTGGCCACCTCATGCAAAGAACCGACTCATTGGAAAAGACCCTGATGCTGGGAGGGATTGGAGGCAGGAGGAGAAGGGGACGACAGAGGATGAGATGGCTGGATGGCATCACCGACTCGATAGACATGAGTCTGAGTAATCTCCAGGAGTTGGTGATGGACAGGGAGGCCTGGCGTGCTGCAATTCATGGGGTCACAAAGAGTTGGACACGACTGAGCGACTGAACTGAACTGAACTGATGAAGCTACAGCTACCTCTCAAGATTGCTGTAAGGATTAGATGAATATACAGGGGGCCTCAAGAAATGTTAGCCATGAGGATGACAACAGTGGATCAGTCTTAGTACTCTGTCCTTTGTTTACATGAAGACCTGTGTTGACTGTGACCCCTTTGACTTTGAAGGTACTAATATTACCCAAAGATCAATCAAGAGAATTCATGAATCATTACAACCCTAGATAAAGTATGATATTGTAGCAGTCCAAGTGAAAATAAAAAGTCTAGCTATGCACCAACCCAAAATGAAAGAAACAATTTGTACCTGAAAATTAGATATAGGAAAAAGCACCAGTTACAGTTTATGCAAATTCATCTATAACACTGCCAGGCTTCAGCAACTCATAGTTTAATAATTTATGCTTACAATTGCTAGCTAATAAATAATGATAAATTCAAAGGTGGTTATTATTTAACTATCAGTAGGACAAATACTTAATTACCAAAATGTTCATGTCAATCTGCTTTTCCAGAAGTGGACCCCAACAAATTCCAGCACTGTATTATAGCAACCTCTTCCTCAAGCCATCTCAGGTAATCTACTTCTGCAAACAAATATCAAACAGAAGCAGCCAGGTTGTATTTTATATTGCTGTAAATGCCTTCCTGTGGATGCTTTGAGAGTTATAATAGGAATTCCTTTAAATATGCTTTGTAATTCTTAAATTGGTATATTTTGAGTATTTAGCCTTAACACATCTCAGTTTTACTAAAGGCAGACAATTAACAGGCTGTGCACAGCACAAATTCAAAATCTTTCAATGTCTCTAATTTTATTCCTGTGGTTATCACAATACACTAAGTGTACGGGCTTTTTAAAGACTTTTGCAAAATCCAGCTTTACAAGCTGTCATGATTTAAAGAGTTTAACCCACCTTCAAATTTAGAACTTTCCTTATCTATGAAAATACAAATAACCTCATGTTAAAAGTCCTCAGAGACTGACAGAGCAGATAATGATTTACCAGACAGTCAAGTGGTTTATGCAAATCCTAGTGGTTTTCTAGAAGGAAGCGTTGCTTTTTCAGTTACCATTCACATTAGTTTGTGTTTTTACCATGAAGTATTTTTCTAAAAGAGAAAAAGGGAGAGAGAGAGATATACTTGCCTGGATAACAGAATTCTTTGATTTGGTTTTTTTGTCTTAAAGCTTAAAGCTCCACATAAAAGACCCAGAACATATTGTGATGATAAGTAAATGTGTAACAACATACAC